CATCATCAGGGGTGGTCTTATGCATTTTAAGATACTTAGTAGCACCCCTAGCCTCACCCCACTAAATGCCAGTAGCACACACCCTCCTCCATGCCCTCATCACTTCAGTCCCCCTGGTTGTGATAACAAAATACCCAACACACGTATGGTACATACTATATTCCAGGTACTATCTAAATATATATATATACTAGCTTATTTAATCTTATTAAGACTATTATTGCTCCATATTGCAAATGAGGACATTGAAGCACAGAGAAGTTGAGTAACTTGTCTGAGGTCATAAAGCTAGTAAGCAGTCATGCATGTTCCAGTTGTGTCATGTTTAGCCAGTAATGCATATTTTCAGGAACCTTAGAAACTGTTTCTAATTGCAGTTTTAAATATCAACATACTCACTAGTTGATTTTTAAATTATGACAGAGGTGGTCCAAGTCTATCTTGAGCTTTGTTTTTCCCTAGTTTTTGTTTTGTTTTGTTTTTTGAGGTTTTTTTGGTCATCTAGAAAATTGTGAGAAATGAGTGGTCAATTCCTACACCCACACACATACAATTACATAGCTATATATAATATATAAATACATAATAATTTATCATTATAACATGTAAATTACTTTTTTTTATTTAAGCAAAGCCCCTACCCTTTTGAAACAGTCTTTTCTGCAATGTATCATTAGTAGCTTTCCTTAATTAAAAGCTATTTATTATTTTAAAATTAAAGAAGCATTTAAAAGCATAAAATAATTTAGATGATTTCTTTAAAAAATTGAGAAATGTTATGTTTTTGTAAAAATCATATATTTATTAAGTGTGTATTGCCTTTTTTGTTTGAACACAAAAGATCTAGTAAAGCTTTAAGGAAATGTTACTTTTAAGAGGAAATTATCTATTTTGATTAAGGTGTTAAAATTATAAAAATTCATTAAATTTTTATAACAACTTATGACCCAAAAACCTTATTGCATTCTACAAATTACACAGTATAGTTATGGCATACTAGTGTCTCAGCATTGAGTATCAAAAGAAAGAAGATGAAGAAACTAGAACAATGTAGAAGGTATATTCTACATTGTAAAGTGTGAAGTGTATATTACATACGTATTTAGTGACACCTGTGGTGAAGCAGTCAAGATTACATAAAGAGGACCATGGGCATTCTTGCATTCTGCAATGAGGGCTCAAAAATAGCCCAATGAGAATCTATTGTTGGAATTGCAGAAACACCTTATTTTAAGATTTTCCCAAAAAACATCTGTTTAGCATCTCTTCACCAGCTATTGAATTCTGACAAAGAAAATATAATAATTAAGGAGATTTCCTGCTGTGCTACTATGGCACAAGAGAATCTTTTCTTCCAGCAGATTACAGAAGTGTTTAATAATAGGTATCCATTGATTTGTAAGTAACATTTGTATTTTGTTTCTGAAAGTGTAGGAAAGAACCAGCATCAGCTAACATTTTGGGAAGCAAATTCTTTCAAATGTAAAATAAATGAGTAAAAATAAGAATAGTGTAATATATTTTAGTATGTGTCAGTTTTAAAAGCACAGGGTTTTCTTCATCTCAGCACTATTAACATTTTGGGCTGGATAAATCTTCATCATCAGGGGTGGTCTTATGCATTTTAAGATACTTAGTAGCATCCCTAGCCTCACCCCACTAAATGCCAGTAGCACACACCCTCCTCCATGCCCTCATCACTTCAGTCCCCCTGGTTGTGATAACAAAAATGTCTTCAGACACTGCTTAATGTCCCTTTAGGTGCAGAGCCACCAGTTTAGAACTACTGCTTGAGCCAATTCCAGAGGGTAAATAGAAAATGAGTCAATATGAACTGCTTTAAAACCCATTAAAATTTTTAGGAAAAAAATGTGTTGCCAGAAGTATCAGGAAGACTAAAATAATGAAGATGAAAGTTACCATACCATAATAGCGTTCATACAGAAATCATCTTATTATACAGTCCACAAAAATATTGAAGATGTATTTTAATCTCTTTCTTGGTACCTGAAAAGTAACTAATATATTCAGAAATTTTTTAGTTAAATGGGGAACTGTTGTTTTCCCAAGTTAGAAGTAACTTTTCAAACTAGGATTAGCCACTTGCAGGACTGAGTGAAGTGCTAACCCAAAGGCCGATAACTAGGTTATCTTTTTTTTTATTTTTTTTTTTTTATTTATGATAGTCACAGAGAGAGAGAGAGGCAGAGACACAGGCAGAGGGAGAAGCAGGCTCCATGCACCTGGAGCCCGATGTGGGACTCGATCCCGGGTCTCCAGGATCGCGCCCTGGGCCAAAGGCAGGCGCCAAACCGCTGCGCCACCCAGGGATCCGATAACTAGGTTATCTTGAGCAGGTAGCATCAGTGTAGGTGCAGAGAAGATGAACCTAGAATAGGACTCCCAGTAGAGACTTCAGACACTTTCATTAGCGAGACTTCAGTATAGCTGGGGCACTTGTGTAATTTGTACCAGCATTGCATCTCAGGGGCCTATCATGTTTCACTTTGAGTTTCTGCCCTGCTTAGCCAACATTGCTAGATAGGGATTAACACCAAAAGATTCAAAGAGAGTCAGTCTATTTAACTAACTTGGGTCTTGGCTGATACAAAAAGCAAACCTTCCAGGCAGAAGCAGAAGCTCCTTGCAGAGATTCTGATCTGCTTCTACAAGGAAATGACACTCAGGTTGAGAATCACTGCTTCAGACTGAGTTCCTTTAAAAAAAAAAAAAAAAGATTTTATTTTTTATTTATTCATGAGAGGCAGAGAGAGACACAGGCAGAGGGAGAAGCAGGCTCCATGCAGGGACCCCGACATGGGACTCCATCCTGGGTCTCCAGGATCACACCCTGGGCTGAAGGTGGCGCTAAACCGCTGGGCCACCGGGGCTGCCCCAGACTGAGTTCCTTGAGGGAAGTGTCTGTCTCTGCAGGTTTAGGCAGCTGGGTGGAATGGAAGTATGCAAAATCAGTAAATATTAGATGAGGGTATTTCTAAGAAAACTGTTAATTCTCAGATTCCCTAGCAATGAAATAAATAAAATCAAAGATCCTGACACTGATATAAATATACTATATTGTCATTTCTAAATGTGATTCCTAAGACAGTACTTTAAAAATACATTTTAAATTTAGTAGTCTAATTTTAATAAATTTTTCAATAAGATATTAATACTAATATTGTGCTTTTGTATGGAAGGTTTTTTTTTTAAATAGAAGTACGATTAACATACATTGTTACATTAGTTTCAAGTATGGAAAGTCTTAAATTACTCTTGAGGGTAAATAAATGTATACCAGTAAGATCTCTGCTCTAAGGACACATAGATAATTCCCAGAGTAGCACTAATGTTACATTGGTTTCAAATGATGCCAAGAATAGAATTAATTTGTCACGAAATGTAAGAATGAAGGGAAAAATCCATTTTTAATAATATTTTTCTAAAATATCATTTTAAATGTTTGTGTAATAGTGTATTATAGACATTGATTATTTCATTTATATCCCTAGAATTTTATATATTCAAATTGCCCCAAGTGTTATCTTCTCATTGAGAAAAGGGAGGAGATAACCTTATATTTGATATAGAGGCTGTAAACAGTCTCATCTACCTGTGTGAAGGTCTAGGATCTCTTATTAGGACCATCAATTCTGAAAGGGAAAGGAGCATCTACAAAGGCTTCCTATATTCTGGATCCACAGTAGTCCCCACAATTGGCCTGTGAAACAGAATCTGAATTCCAATAGGCAAAAAGTATCAAAATTTTACTCTGGAATGTTCCACAACAAAATTATATGCCCTAAAGTAAATACCCCAGTTCTAATGTATTGTTGTTATTGGTTTATATCTTATTTAATAACACATGATTTTTTATTATTTATTTATTTATTTATTATTAGAGCTATACATTACGGTTAATAAGGTGGCCAGGAACCTGGTTTCAGTACTTAAGTGAGTTAATTCAATGTATCACAAACCGTAAATTCACCTAATTTACTAAAAAATAAATATAGAGGGACCTGACTGAAGTCAGGTGGATGGATAACAGAACTCATTATTATTATTGAAAAATCTAAGTACGTATCCTCTTAACATTATACAAATAAGGAGTGAATAGTAATATTAGGCAATAGTCAAATGAAAACTTAAAAAAGTCAGCTTCAAATGATTTCATTTGAAATCATTTTATTTTTATGAAAAAGTATAATTTTTTTCTTTGAGAAATAGTCCTAAATATTGAGAAATATCCTCTGGAAAGTAAGAAAGTCATAAAATACTTCCTATAGAATTTTAGCCCACCATATCTAATCCCTCCAGTACCCCCACACCACCACATCATAATCCTTGCCTCACTCAGTATAGACATTTCTCATACCAGCACATAAACTGTATACAGTGAAGGTAGGGGTTTTTATAGATAATATATAGAAATTTGGAGAAAGAATTCATCTAATGTAAAATCCATAAATTTATGGCACCTACGTGGCCCAGTCAGTTGAGTTTGGGACTCTTAATTTCTGCTCAGGTCCTCAGATCAAGAGCCTTTGGCCTCATGGAGTTGGCTTCTCCCTCTCCCTTTGCCTTCCCCCTCCCTGTCATTTGTGTGTGGACTCTCTCTCTCCCCCTCTCAAATAAATGAATGAATGAATATAAAACCTTTATTTATTTGAGAGGGAGAGCCAGCACCTAGTGGGGGAGGGACAGGAAGAGAGAGAAGCAGACTCCCCACTGAGCAGGGATCCCGAGGCAGAGCTCCATCCCAAGACCCTGAGATCATGACCAAATTCAGAGGCTTATCAGACTGAGCCCACCAGGTGCCCCTATAAATAAATTTAAAAATTTTTTAAAGCTATAAACTTAATACTATTAAGGATTAAGTATTATACTTAATACTTTGAGGAAATTAAAAATTTCCTGTCATGTAGTATACTACTAAGTTATTTTAAATCTGGCTAATTAATCTGGTTGCATTATAATTCAGTATTTTTTCTTTATAGGGCTTCATTATTTCAAAAATGTTGTGCTAGTGGGATCTCTACAGGATCGCTATGTTCCTTATCACTCTGCCCGCATTGAAATGTGTAAAACAGCATTAAAGGACAAACAGTCAGGTAACTAAATAAATTGGAAGTATTTCATCTCCATTTGTTTCTCTGACAATGCATCCCATAACATTTTTTATATGTCAGTTGATCACTTTTATTATTATTTTAAATGCCTGCTTATGACGGAATCATTATTTTATATGGAGTTCCCTATACATTAAAAAAAAAAGTATTTCAAACAGTTGTAACTACACCTGAGCTTTTTCCCAAATTTTTCTTGTAGTCACTTTCTTCTTTCTTTCATCTTTCTTTCATTTTACTTTCTTTTTCACCCACTGATGTTAACAGCTATCCTTCCTCTTTTTTTCTTCTTTTCTTTTCTCCTGCCATGTGAAATGGTTTTGCCAATAAAACAGTCATCTTGGGATGCCTGGGTAGCTCAGTGGTTGAGTGTCTGTCTTTAGCTCTGGGCGTGATCCTAGAATCCCAGGATCGAGTCCCACGTCGGGCTCCCTGCAATGAAGCCTGCTTCTCCCTCTGCCTGTGTCTCTGTCTCTCTCTCTCTCTCTCTCTCTCTCTCTCTGTCTCTGTGTCTCTCATGAATAAATAAATAAAATCTTTAAAAAAAATCATTCTTTTGAAAGAGTTCTTTTCCTAATTATAAATGCCCTTCATTTTGCTGCCTCAAAAGTAATCTGTAGTTTAATTTCCTCTGGATTATTGGGATTGGTGATTATGGTAATCATCATGCTGCATGATCTGCTGTATCTTGCTTTTAGTCAAAGATGGAAGCATGCTGCATGATCTGCTGTATCTTGCTTTTAGTCAAAGATGGAAGCAAAGACTTATTTTACTTCAATAAAGTAATAAAGATTTTATATATTTATTCTTTTGTTATTGCTATCTTGAATAACAAAAGAAATTTAAATCATAGCTAATTAGAGCCAGGATATTTGCATCCTATTTGCTTATTTTATTTTTTTAATTTTTTAACTTTTTAACAAATTTTACTTATTTATTCATGAGACACACAGAGAGAGGCAGAGACATAGGCAGAGGGAGAAGCAGGCTCCCTATAGGGAGCCCGATGTGAGACTTGATCCCAGCATCCTGGGATCATGACCTGAGCCAAAGGCAGACACACAATGTGCCCTGTTTACTTATTTTATAATTGAGATGCTAAGTGGCTGATCCAAAGTCACTGGCGATTAATTAATTACAGGATTAGGGCAAGAACTTGGTTGGGTGTCGAACCTCCCATATTTGCTCAGTTCCTTTTTTGGAATGAGGGTGATTTTTAAGCAAACTCTTAATCCTTTGCTTTTTCCACATTTTAACAGTAAACAGTCTCTTTAAGCAGGGAATCTCCCTTATACACATTTGTATTGGCATTGCCTAACATGATGCCTGACACATACATAGTAGGTACTCTATTCATTTAACAAATATTTTTTTAGCGTTTTGTGACATCAGAATAATTTTTTTTATTGTTGTCAACTTCTATAGGAACTTAGGGGAAAATTCAGAAGAGATTTATTTAACCTTCAGGATGGGTCATAGAAACTAGAGAAATGTGCTTGTTTTAACAGATTCTGTGCGACGGGGGGACAGGGGGAAATCTAATCAAGACAGGTTTGGACTACTTCTATAATAAAAATATTTTTCAAGTAGCATGTAACCAGAAATCCAGCTTGATTCACAGTGAAAACTAAGAGAAGAGGTGGGAGTTTTCTATGAATCTATCTGATGTGTTAATCTCTGTCTTTAATAGCTCTCTCTTCTTTCTCTAAATGTACTTCTATATACTTTTCCCTTCTCATGATTCCTCAGAGATAAACCCTACCCCTCCTTAGAAATGTGATACTTGCCTATAAAATCCACAGGTCCATGGATATGTGTTAGCACTCATCTGTAGTTAAGCATTAAAAACTCTTTTGCCCCTTGTAAGGCAGTTTGTGCCTTTATGTATATCTAACCTTCTTTAGAAGGTCTTTAATGCTGAGAATGACCTCAATAAGTTCATTGTCAGGATTAGCCAAAAAGAGGGAGAAACAGTTTTGAGATTAAAAGCAAAACCAAGCATTAAATAAATCCTTAGACCAAAAAGGATCCTGTCTGATCTTGAGCCAAACTTACATTGTTCTTTTGACTATAGGAAGTTACTGATTTTTTTTTAGAATAATTTGGAAATATGTGGGATAATGTTGAATGCCTCTGAAACATTTTTAAAGTACTTGCTATAGGTTCAAGTTTTAAAAGTTCTAAAAGGCAAAATGTCTTTTATTTGTATAGTTGACACTCAATGTTACATTAGTTTCAGGTGTACCATATAGTAAGTGATTCAGCTTTTCTATACATTATGCTATCCTCACCCCAAGGGTAGCTACCATCTGTCACCATAGAACACTATTACAGTATCACTGACTATTCCCTATAATATATAAAAGGCAAAATGTCTTAGCATGGCTATCTTATTTTCATAATAAGTTAACAAGTCATAAGTGACCTAATGTTGAATAAAATTATTTACTCTGTTATATTCATTGCTGTGAATTAAAAGAATCAAATTTATAAGAATTTATAATAAATTTATTAGTTTTACTTGGCTAGGTAATGTGGTTATTTGTATTTTTTATAGAACAGTCTCAAAATGATAGTCCAAGAAAAAGAAAACCTTTTAAAAGACATTCTGGGACGCCTAGGTGGCTCAGTGGTTGAGCGGTCTGCCTTTGGCTCAGGGCAGGATCCCAGGATCTGGGATCAAGTCCCACATCGGGCTCCTTGCAAGGAGCCTGTTTCTCCCTCCACCTGTGTCTCTGCCTCTCTCTCTGTGTCTCCCATGAATTTAAAAAAAAAAAAAAAGACATTCTTCTGCTTTAAATAGAAATAATATGACTAAATTTTATAAATTATATAAAAGTTGGCATAGAATTTTTTCAGTTATTCATGTAAACTAATTTTCTTGTTTTCTGTTTGTTCCATAGGACAAATCTATTCAGAAATGATCCACAACTTGCTTCGCCCAGTTCTACAAAGCAAGGAGTGTAATTTGGTTCGATACAATGTCATCAATGCATTGCCCAATACAGCTGATTCACTCATTGGGAGAGCTGCACATATAGCTGTTCTTGATTCGGAAATATTTTTAGAGAAATTCTTTCTGGTTGCTGCCCTCAAATATTTCCAATAGGATAAAAACATTGTTAGAGACTTGATAATTACCTCATTCAACAATGATTCAAATAATGTATTATATTAAAATGTAGAGGCTGATAAGTTCTAAGAAATATTTATACCTTTTTATATGGAAGATAATTTATATCATCCATGTTTAGAGCTTTTTAAACATCACTTTCCTTTCTAGGTAATGTGGCTGTGCAATATTTTTTTAATTTTATCTTTTTACTTTTCTATTACTTTTTCATATATTTTGCTACATAAGTATTTCAGTGAAACTTTAAGCCCATATGTATATCTGATTGTTTATTATTGGCTTTCCACAGTCCTTACATCAGACACGTCCTGTTAGAGGCCATTTATTGCAAGAATAGCATGGGATTTTAAATTTTCTAGTATTGGGGTATTATTTAGTTAATTATACATTTTACTTTTAACATTTTACTATGTTTTAACTGGAAATAAAATTATGGCTGCTAAAGTATATTTTTTGAAATCAACTCTAGCCCTGTCAAACCAGGTAGTTCATAAATGACAATGTTATAAAAGTTTTCTATAAAAGTCATTACTGTTGCTATTAAACATATGTCATGCCTATTAAAATATATATTTTCTACTGGTGATTTCAACATTATTTCTCACATTGACTTTTATTACTGGAACTTTTTCATGTTCATGTTAGCAGCATCTAGAAATTTTTGAATGTTGAATGCCCTCTGCTTTGATTTGGTTGGAATTTTGCTACATTTGGTAGTGTTGCTTGAACTTTCCGACTACATTTCTTTAACTTTTTTCATGGACTTTCTTGTATGTAAATAATACTTAAGTGTTGAAATTTATGAAATACTTTTATGAATTTAGATAATTTTTAAATATTATTAAAATTTGTTGAACTAAAAAGTAATGTAAATAAAAGAATTCATGTTAAGAATGGAACAAAATAATTACATGTTTGGTGATAGAGATGCAAATGTTTTTGATATATGGAGATGTTAAGTCTTTTGACTTTCCTAAAGGTGCTGAATAGCATTAAATTCACTATTTTCCTTTCCTATTTTACTTGTGAAAATAATAATGCACTAAGGATGGATAGGTCTGTTTGCATTTGCCAATTGTGATGGACAGAGGTTTTTGTAAGTATGTGTTGTATAATGCATGTTTTATTTTTAGCATTGTGTTATTATTGCCTCTGGTGTTAATAAATGAACAAATGACTATCTGGAGGAACAGATAAACCACTTGCTTATTTTCAGAATACTAGGGGTATATTTTTATTTATAGTTGGATAGACTATATTAATTGTATAGACCAGCATGATTATATAACTTACAGCCTTTGTATTTTTATAATTTGTCTTTTGCATATATTAAGTAGTTAAAAAGTATTTCATTGGCTCTCCATAATTCTTTACTTTGTAAAAAGTATTTGAAAATCCAATGAATTGACTAAGCAATAATATACCAAGTACTTTATAACTGGAAAATATAAATACATGCATTAACTACCACATATTTTTGCCACACACATTTTTCATCTTCACATACCTTGGCCCTGAGTTTAAAATATGCTTATTCTAAGTTTGTATAATAATCTTCCAGGTTTATCAAAGGATTCATTCTTACTCATAATGATATAATTGTATGTGAGGGTAAATTATTCGTATGATCATGGCTTATTGGTTGTTGGTTGCTTTGACACAGTTTTCAAAAGCATATCAATGATCATAGTTTAAAATCTAACAGATTTCACTTCTCATTTACCAGGGAAACTATCATATAATATTTACTTCCAAATGCAGATTGTAGGAGTGGATTGGGGTCCTGAGGGAAAGGGGAAGTGATTGCCTGAAATAGTATACTTGACTTCTAGAGCATGAATCTCATTAAAGTATATGCCCGTAAGAATTCTTGTTGCAAAAAACAACAACAACAACAACAAAAATTATGATTAAGTTAAGCAGAAAAAAATTGTTGGAAGAATGTTAGGTAACTCATGGAATTGTTGGAAAAGCTGGAGAATGAACTTTGGAAAACAGAAGCCAAGGGAAGCTAAATGACCAAAATCATAGCTAAGTTCTGACCTCAAGAAGAACTAGAAGTTTGTGTATACATCTTCTGGCAGTGGTGCCTCTGAAAACTGGATTCCAAACACTTTTCTCATCTGAATCACTCATTCCAAATTCGAAGTCTGATAGGAATGTCCTATTGACGAAAGTTATTCTTTTGTTTTTTTAAGATTTTATTTATTCATTCATGAGAGACACAGAGAGAGACCGAGACATGGGCAGAGGGAGAAGCAGGCTTCCTGCAAGGATCCTGATGTGGGACTCAATCCCAGGACCCCAGGATCAGGACCTGAGCCAAAGGCAGTTGCTCAACCACGGAGCCACACAGATACCTCTGACCAAGGTTATTTTTCTACCAGCACTCAGGCTTCAAGCATCAAAGATAGCAAATATATTTGACCTCAGCTTCCATAGTAGATGATGAGACCATTTCTCTCACCAGATCCACCAAGTATATGAAATGAGTGTGATGACTGAACACCCAATATAAAAACATCAGAGATCTACTGTAGTCCCATCTCTTTCCAACATTTACATATAACACTCCTCCCATATGTATGCATTTGCATAATACTGTATTATCCCTCATCTACTTTCAAGTCCAGAATCTCCGTAAGATGTCCCCTCCTCTAATTCTGTAATGATCTTGTCTCAGTAGTATGTAACCCATAACAGAATCGTGACCTAACCACTACTACATCTATATACAACATAGGAAAGAAAAGGGAAATTATTAAATACATAAGCATATATATGTACCAGTGAGGAAGGAAATATAACTAGAGCAGGGCTTTGCCAGCATCCTTGCTGATAATTACCTGAATTACTAAAAATACAAATTTCAGGGAAGCCTAGGTGGCTCAGCGGTTGGGTGGCTGCTGTCAGCTCAGGTCATGATCCCAGGATTCGGTATCGAGTCCTGCATCAGGCTCCTACAAAGAGCCTGCTTCTCCCTCTGCCTATGTCTCACCTCTCTCTGTGTGTCTCTCATGAATAAATAAATACATTTTTATAAAAAAATACAAATTTCAGAACCCTATTATAGACAAACTGAAACAATATCTAGGGTAGGATATGGGGAACAACATGTTTTGTCCCAAAGTCTCATTTATGTTAAAATTATGCTAAATACAGTCCTCAATTCTGCTACTGGCCATAAAGCTAGATGGTTATGACTTCTCACCACTGCCACTTACTCCCTGTTTCCTTTGTATTTGAGGATGTCAACTGGATGAGATTTACCTAGTGCATGTTCCAAGGATCTGAGGCTTGAGTGGTCTTGCCTATACATGGTTGCAAATGTTTGCTTAATTTTTATAATTCAAAATGGTATTGTGAGGAGGTATTCCAGGAGATATGATTTCCCAAGCTCTAATCAGACTCCTCTTTCTACTCCCATTTCTGTGGTCATCAGGGCCAATCACCCCAGCTACTGCCATAACCACTTTTTCTAACTCCTTACCTAGAGGAACGAGCTAAAATGACCAGGTTACAATTCCCAACTTCAATGCAGAGAAAACATCATGTCCCCTTATATCCCACTCTGGGAAAAAAAATAGTACACCAAAAAAATCTGGAATCTTGGAGATGGATGGTAAACGCAGTGGAGGGTCTAAGATTTTATCCTACTTATAGGCTTGCTTGCTACAGGACAGGAGACTCCAGAGTACAAAAGACTTTATTACAGCAAAATAGCCAAGCATCAGCATATTTGCACTAGTTCCTGGAGCCCCAATCCCCACAGTGATGGAGAGTGGCAGATGACACCTGTACACACATTGGGTTGCATCACAGGAGAAAAGTCCAGGGCCAAGGGCCAAGCGTTTTTTAGAGCAAGCAGCAAACAAGCCAGTCTCTTTCCCCCAAAGGGAACAGCAGTTCTATTGTAGTAATGCTATATTTAAATGCCCATATGACCAGCTACAGAAATTGCTGTTTCAGGAGATAGATAAGCCTTGCCATTGGTATACTCAGCAGTAATCTGCAGGGAGGCCCAGGACCCATGGCAGATTATTTCTCCCCATGATGGTAAGCAAAACATAGGAACAGTGTATCATGTAAACAAGATACTCATCCTTCTACTACTCTTTGGATCCAGTTATTCTGTCCATAGAAGAGATAACACTGAAATTGTTAAGTCATTGGGAATATATGCCAAGTCCTTTAGGACAGCATCCCAAAGTGTATTTTCTCATCCTGTTCCAAAAGTAAACCTTTTGGGAAAAAAAAAAAAAAAAACCTTTTGGGGATCCCTGTGTGGCACAGTCAAGTGTCTGCCTTCAGCCCAGGCCATGATCCTAGGGTCCTGGGAACCAATCCCTCCCCTCCACCTTGCATTGGGCTCCCTGCTCAGTGGGGAGCCTACTTCTCCCTCTCCCTCTGCTGTTTCCCCACTCATGCTCTCTATCACTTTTAATCTTAAATGAATAAAACCTTAAAAAAAAAGTAAACCTTCAGTAGAGCTGTCCTTTATAAGACTGATTGCTTCTGGTCTGATGGGATATGTGATAAGGTTTGCTAATGCCACAGGCATCACTACATTTTTCACAGGAGTGAGTTCTTTGGTAAGCACTTTTGTATGGGATGCTATATAAGGTGTATTTAGTATAAGGTATTCAGTAAGTACACAGAATGTATAAAAGAAGCATAAGTCACAGAAACCAATCCAAATGTGGGTATAATTGTTACTATACAACAAGTTGCTACCTCCTTCATTATAGTAGGGTTCCATTGTAATCAAACCTGCCACCCAGGCTACATAGTCCTTTATCAGGGGGACAGATTGTTCACTGCAAGTAGTGGTGCTAGCCAATCTGTCAGGGAAAAAGACTATGTTAAAAATCTATGCATGTCTCCGTGCCACTGTGACTAGCAGATAGTAGGTCCAGCTGTGGTGGGGGAATGAGGCTGACTGATGTCTATGAAGAGGGTCACTGTGGTCTCAAATGGTCTTCAATGATCCCCATCTGCTGGTATTCACCCTTTGTGTAACCCCTCCCTTTTCAGAGGGTGCTGGATATACTGACTTCAAATAGAGTACATCAAAAGAATACATCACTTCTAATGATAGAATACATCAAAACTTGAGATTACAAAAATCCTGTGGCTTCTACTTTAGCAGTTTCATTCTCACTCATTCCGTGGAAAGCCAGCTGCCATATTGTGAGATGATCTTTGAAGAAGCCCACATAGCAAGAACTAAAAGAGGCCTCTGGTCTGAAAGCCCACAAAGCATCGAATCCTGCCAATAATTGTACTAGTAAGCTTGGAGGCAGATCTTCCCCTAGTTGTGCCTCCATATGAAACTGGAACTCCAATTAAGAACTTGACTGCAACCTCCTTTAAGACCTAGAGGCACACTGGCTGCTGCTTTTCTGATCCACAAAAACAGAATTTAAGACAATACCAAATTTTGGTATAATGTATTATGATGCAATAGATAAATAATAGTAATCTTATTCTGATTAATAGCCCTTCTAAAATGGGAGCTTTTTTTTTTTTTTTTTTTTTAAGCAATGAGATCCAAACAATCTTATGTTTTGGGGTGATTTGAGAAGTCCTGTTCCAAAGAACTATTCCAAAACCTTTACAGTCCCAGTCCCTGATCACATGACTAAGCCAGAGCCCATAAAATTATGTAGATTTTTGTCTCAAGCCACGTCTCCTTCCAGGCAAAGTGTACAAGATAAAGTTCAGGCCTCCAAGAGGATCTTTCTCTCTCTCTCTCTGCTGTTCCTTGAGAGCCTCTGTTAAACAGGGCTCTAAATGCCAAGGCAGTCCATTAATAGCTGAGTCAGTATATTTAGCAAAGCCATTCTTAATCCAGCTTTGAATTTTTTTCCCTCAGTCAACCGGTCACAAAGAATTCATCACTGAACTGTAGATATAGCTAAGGGTCAAAAGCATTTATAGGAGCTAACTGCTAATGAAAATTGCTTGGGTTTTGTTTCTGGCCTTGTTTTGTATATACTTGCTCTTAGTGAAAGGGCTCCTTATCCTGGAGGATCAGATAACTCCCAGGTCACGATGAGAAACTCAGATTGTCAGACATTGCCAGCACCCAACAGCTAGCCCAGAACTTTTCTGAAAAAATAAGAATCTAGGGACCTACACTGTGATTCTGTAAGGATTTCCACAAGTTACATAAAGCCTCCCGATCTGCCACATATGCTCCAAACGTCATTGGAACGGTTGGAATTTATGGGCCAATTGCACTGGCCCACTTCCCCTGCAGCCTGGACCAGATGGCAAGCCTTTTCTTGCTCTGCTCTTCATTCAAAATTGTCATCTTTCAGGTCATCCGGTCAATGCGTCAGAACCAACGAATTAGTTCACTGAACGAACAGTCCTTTAAAAAATAAAAGAGAACTGAACAAGGAAAGAAAGGCTATTATCACACGGGCAAAAGAGCAAAAAGTGTGCTTCATCTTTGCATACTATGAAAGGGATCTTTCAAGAGACCATTGTCTTAGATTGAGAGGAACGCATGGAATTATTCCCTCATCCAACCTCAGTCATAATTTGGGATTTTAAGCAGCAGGAGGTCAGGGTAGTTCGAGTCGCTCTCCTTGAACCTTTTTTTTTTTTTTTTGATTTTATTTATTCATGAGAGACACGGGGAGAGCAGGCCTGACATGGGACTCAATCCCCGCTCTCCAGAATCACGCCCCGGGCGGAAGGCAGGCGCTAAACCGCTAAGCCACCCAAGGATCCACCTTGAACCTTTTCCTTACAGACGGCCCGGAACCGGAGCACGGATTTTTAGGAACAGCTCCTGATGCCCCGCCCCGCCCCGCCCCGCCCCCCTGCCCACCAAGCAGGTCCCGCCCACCAGACAGGCCCCGCCCCTCAGCACCGCCCACCAAGCAGGTCCCGCCCCCTCCGTACACAGGCCTCCACCCAATCAGACGCAGGCCCCGCCTCGCGAGAGCTCCGCCCCTCCTGCGGGGTGGGCCCGGGTCGGCGCTGCTGGTTCGCTTTCCCTGCTGCGCCCCCAGGACTGTGTGGGAATTGGCGCCATGACTGTATCGAGGCTGGCTCGGTTGCTTGGCTGCGTCCCGGCCACCGCGTGGAGAGCGGCAAGTAAGGCGCCAGGTCCCGGGGCCGAGGTCGCGGGGCAAGGTCGCGAAGGCCCGGCGCCGCGAGGAAATCCTCCCTCGGTGTAAGCAGCGCGTGTCCCGGGAGTCTGAAGGCACCGGGTGCTGCAGAGCTTCTCTTCTTACGGCTCGGCCGTCCAGTTCTTGGTGCGGGGCAGGTCCCTTCAGCACCCCGGATCTCAGGGGTCGGACTAGGGCTAGAAGACCACCCGGGCCCTTCCCGCCTGCGGGACCTGCTTCCTTCCGGTCCCTGCGCAGGAAGGGCTTGTTTCCTGGGGAGCTCTCGGGGCTCTCTAGGCTTTGGCGCCCGTGGAAAAAAATGGGAAAGAGGGCCCTTTGGAACAAGTGTCATTCATTTACTTATTTAATTTACACCAAAAAGGATTTGTGGTAGTTTACGGTCTAAATAAATTGGAAAAGTGCAGAGGTGGGTCAGAGTTGCAAATTAGTATAATAAAGTTAGATGAAGCCAAGAATTGTTAATACAAAGAAAGAATGCGTGCTTTCAGTAAAAACCGGCCTTTTTTGTTGTAAGGTTTTCTCAATATTTTAGATTTGACCCAGAAAAGATCCTTAGCATAGTTTTAATTGAGGACATCCTGGAGAAATTGTGGAAGTGGAAAACAGAATTAACTACCCTGCATAGTAATAGGCCCCAGATCTCTGTGCAGTTTGTTTTCGGTAAACATTTCTCCCCAAACATACTACTTGTTAATTGTAAACATTTTAAATGGTCCAGGAATGAATAATAAAGGGAAAGCCCCGCCTTATCCAAACTCCACAGGTAGTGACTGCAAATTTATTGTGTGTTCATTCACTGTCCCTTTCTCACTTGTGTTAAAAACTTAAGAGTGGAGTATTTGATACCAAAAACGTACGACACGTGTAAGTTATGAAGCAAAGCATACGAACCCTTTTTCCAATTTAAGAAATAGAGTATTTCTGTTACCAAGAAGTTCCCAGGATGCATCTTCCTCAGGCAGTGGGTCTTTATAGTAATAGCTTCCTACCATTTGTACTTACTTTACTTGCTTTCTTCAACTAACAGCTGTATTTTGAGCTTCAGTCCATATTGATGTGTGAGATTGTGGTTAATCATTCAGTTGTGAGAGTGTATCATACAGTTTTTCCATTCTTCTCAGTGGACATCTGGGCAATTCTGGAAACACGAGGATTGGCTGCTACACATTCTTGTTATGGGTGGTCTAATACAAGGAATGGAATTCCTGGAATATATGGTATAGGCCTTTTCAGTTTTCTAATACGATGCCAGGTTGTAAAGGCATTTCCATCCCTACTGGCAATTACACTCCTACCAGCAGAAACATCAGTTCTTGCTCCACATACTTGTCAACATTTGATAATCATCAGGAAGTTTGATTTTTGATTGAATAGGGTATTGAAATGGTATGCCATTATGATTTTGCTTTTGGATTTTGTATCCACTGTCCTGGCTAAATTACTTTTCTAACTTCTCTGATTAGAGAAGTCAGACATCTTTTCAAATATTTATTCGCTTTCTTGATGAAATCTCTTCATTTTCTTAGTGGATTGTTTGTCTTTCTTATTTATATTCTTTACATATATTTCAATACTAAACCTTTTTTAGTTCTGTAAGCGGCAAATATTCCAATTTGGGGCTGTTCTTGTCACTCCGTAGTGTTTTTTTTTTTTTTTAAAGAAAATCATATACAACAGCAGAATAAAATAATGGCTCTGCATGTACAGTCACACAGCTTCAAAAGAAAGGTGTATTTTTTTTTCTTAAGGAAAGGTGTCTTTTGGTAAATAGGTAACCATAATATCGTTGTAATTTTGTATTGATCCTTTTGTTTATTGTCCGTGCTTTGTGATCTTGTCTAAGAAAGCCTTTCCTACCCTGAAGTCAGTTATTCTCCTGTTTTCTTTTCAAAGGTCTATAGTTTTGCTTTTTGTATTTAAGCCTTTATTCTACCAGGATTGATTTTTTTTAGAAGTTTTTACTTATTTATTCATGAGAGACACAGAGAGAGAGAGAGAGAGAGAGAGAGGCAGAGACACAGGCAGAGGGAGAAGCAGGCTCCATGCCGGGAGCCTAACCTGGAACTTGATCCTGTGTCTCCTGGATTGTGCCCTGGACTGAAGGCGGAGCTAAACCGCTGAGCCACCCCGGCTGCCCCAGGATTGATTATTGTGTATGGTGTGAGGCAGGAAACCAATTTCATTTATTTTCCATGTCAATAATCTGTTGTCCCAGGTCCATATATTGGGCCTTTTCTTCATTGATATGATGCTGTCTTCAGTCAAGTTTACATAAACATATAGGCATGGGTTTATTTCTTGGCTCCCTTTTCAGTTCTGTTGATCTAATTGTCTATTCCTGTGCTGATATCACCTGTCTTAATAACCATACCTTTGTAATAAATCTTGATATCTACTAGGGTAAATCTGCTCATTCTGTTTTTTAGAGTGCCTTGGCTATTCTTAGGTATCTGCTTTCCATATCAAATTCTTAAAAGGGGGGGAGGGGCACCTGGTGGCTCAGTCAGTTAAGCATCTGTTTTCCTTTGCCTCTGCCTGCTGCGGGCCCTGCTTGTGTGCTCTTTCTCTCTGTCAAATAAACAAGATCTTTAAAAACAATTCTTAAAAAAAAAGTTCCTGTTGGGATTTGATTAACCCTGCTCAGTATTTTTTTAAATTATCATTTTGTGATTGCTGCTTATGTATAGAACATAATTATTTATTCCTTTTGTATCCTGTAACTACCTAAATTAGTTTATTAATGTAAACAATTTATTTGTAGCTAGGGGGGAGAAGGTATTTTGCTAGGTAGGCACTCATATTAGTGGCAAGTAATGAAAATCTAGTTTCTCACTTACTAATATTTGTCTTTTTCTTTTGTTTTTCTGTCTTACTCAGATTTCCAGTAGCATGTTGTCGAGGAGTGGTCATCTTGTCTGTAATTGTAAAGGGAATGCATTCATATTTCAAGTGTCATATTAGCTATGGATGTGCCTTTATCAGGTTAACGAAGTCCCATGCTATGTCTAGAAGGGTTTTTTACTGTTGTTTATGTATTTGTCTGGTTTTTAAGACTGAATAAATCTTGAAATTTACTGAATTCATTTTTTTTCATCTTCTCAGGGTGATTACATCCTTTTTTTCCTTTAAATCTGGTGAGTTGGTGAATTGTAGATTTTACTAATGCTAAATCAATCTGGCATTCCTAGAAAATACTCAAATTGGTCATGATTATATTTTTAATATGATGTTGAAATTGATATGCTAATATTTTGTTTTGAAATTGGCCTGTAATTTTCCTCTTTTGGAATTTCTTTTCTGCTTTCAAAGGTTAAGTTATTCTAGCCTCATATAGCGAATTCAAGAGTCTTACTACCCTTTTCTCTTTGTCATATTTTGTTTAAAGAAATTATTCATTCTTTGAGTATTTGGTATAACTTAACTACAAAACCATCTGCTCTTTGAGGCAAGATTTTTAAATTACTGGTTTAATTTCTTTAATGGTTGTTGCGTTGTTTATCAGCTTTTCTCTTCAGTCAGCTTTAATACATTTTTCTAGAAATCTGTTTATTTTATACACTTTCATTTTAGAGGCATAAAGTTCCTTTTTAAAAAATATCTGCTCTCATATATAATTATGTAATCTCTTGTCTTCATATTATCTATTTTGTGTGCTCTTTTTTTTTTTCTTACTAGCCTAACCAAAGACTTCACAGTTTTAATCTTTTAAGGGAACCAACTCTTGCTTTTGTTGATTCTCTCACTTGTATGTCTTTTATTCATGTTACCATTTTCTTCTCTAACTGTGGTTCTTTTCCTTCCATTTTCTGTGTGTCTATCTCTTTAAGACAAAACTAAAAACGTGGAAAGAGTTTTTACATCTCTTATGGCTCACATGGCTTAGTTTGGACTATGATAACAAATTGCCGAAGAGTAGGTGGCTTCCACTCCAAACATTCATTTTTCACAGTTCTGGAGGCTGGAAAGTTTAAGATCAAGATGCCAGGACATCTGGTCTCTGGTGAGAGCCTGCTCCCCGGTTTGCAGATGGCTACTCTCTCATTGTCTACTCCTGTGGCAGAGAGCAGAAAGCCACAGCAAGCTTTCATATCTCTTCTTTTTAAGAAATGGGTACTAATCCCATTCGTGAGGGTTCCACCCTCATCACCTAATCATCTCAAAGCCCCACCACTTAATATCACTGTGGGACCCAGGAAATTTAACAAAATCCCCTACCCGTGGACAAGCAGAGCAGGACTGACTCTATTTTGGGCTGCACCCGCCTTGTGCTGACCTGCTTATTACTTAGGGCACTGCCCCGCCCTAGTCAAGACCAGGGCACACCCTAATCGGAAATCGGCTCAGTGATAGGCCAGTTCAAATGGATACTTTAGGGTAAAATGTAATTCAATCGGCCACCTGCGAGTGGACCAGCATGACTGTGCAACTTTCTGCGTATCCCATTGGCCACTGGCCCCCCTATAAAGTTGCTAAGCCTCTTAGTCTCGGGGTCCAAGTCCCGGCTCCACTGTGTCGGGTATGCTTGGACCCAGGCTCGAGCTTGTAAATAAGCCCTCGTGTGTTTGCATCCGTGTCGGCTCCTTGGTGGTTTCTCGGATTCGCAATCTTGGGCACAACAATCACCACATTAGGGGTTAGAATTTCAACATATGAATGAGGGTGGTGTGGGGGACACAAATCTTCAGTTTCTAACAATGGTCATTTTTTTTTTAAACATGTACTTCTTATATGAACAGCATGTGGCTGGGTTTTGTTTTGTTTTTTGGAGTCTGACAGTCTATACCTATTTAACTGGAGAATTCACTTCATTTATAATCATAATTATTGATATAATTGGCTTTATTTCTACCAACTTACTTTTTACACCTTCTATTTGTCATACTTGGTTTGAATTAAATATTTTCTTCTCCCATTATTTTTTCTCTGCTGGTTTGGAAGATATACATTATCTTTTATTGGTTACCT